AACAATTCAGCAGGGCATGTTACTTTTCAGATTCATTTGTAAGATTGTCATATGTTTTATGTTGAATCTTAAAGAGTGTTGTTTTATCATCTCTCATTTATCATCTTGTGTTCCCTCAGATTTATCTTGTGACCCTTTACAGGGTCCTGACCCCTATAGATTGGGAACCACTGTACACTACCCAACTGCAAAGTAGTTGAAATGAGCTCCGCCTTGAGCAGCTTCAACAGTAAGATAGTGCTTAAACACTGATGGTCAGTATTACAATCTCATAATGTAATAAATAACAATATATCAGTCTCATGAGCCAAAATGAGTACTTTTAAAATGATACTTCAAAGGAGCTGTAAACTAAATGCAGAGTCTGGTCAGGGTTGCCTCCACATGGCTCTCACTGGAGTCTGACTGACCAAACAACAAACAGAGCGGCTCGGATAACAACAAACACAGAGGGAGAACAACTTCCTCGTTCTCTGCTCAGAACACCATTACTCCACTTTATCTTTAGCAAATAGTTGTTTGTGGCTATATTAATGCTCTGTATCCTGCATATAGGACCTTTACGTTTTTAGCAGACCTAAGTACACATCTGTTTATTTATCGCAATATAGTTATCATGATTTTCAACAATGTTACAGCATACTTTCCTAATATGCAGCTCTAATTTTTTCCTTACTGAGTACTGCACTTATAGATCATGTTTGTCTTTAATACAGCAGCAGAACTTAGTAGCAGGTGATGAAAAAATGTAACTTTTGTGTTTTCTTCATAATATGGAGTTTCATGTGTTGACAGTTACTTCAACAGATATTTTGTTTTTTTGTTCCCTCCTCTTTCTCATAAGACATTAGGAAGCTGAGAGGTTGTTGATTTACTGTAAGTGATGTAAATACAAAAATCAAGGAGGGGGAAGCGGACAATCACGTCCGCTTGTTCAGCCACTCCATCGTCTCCCACCTCCTCTTTACAGCTCTTCAACAGGCTGTTGACGACATGCAGAGCAGCTCTTGTGCACGCTGCCCATGTTTGTGCTCTTTAACAACACAAGCGCTCTGACACTTTGCTTGCAACAGCCGTGTCAATTGAACTTCAAAGTGGCCTTTCCCATTGAGCACAAAGCAGAGGGACGCAGACGGCCGCTTTATTTTCTGGTTAATATCATAGTCCAGAATGGTGGCTCGCATTAAACTCCAAGGAGGTTTCTGAAGGCCGACACTTATTCCTCTATTTTACGGTTAATAATTTCGGAGTCTGATGTTAATTAACACAAAAAAAAATTAGCTGCTTCCGCCACATTTTATTCCGTAATGAAATATTCAGAGACTCCACTGGAAACTAAAACACTCCTTTAAAATACTCACTAATGCAATTCGTCTCTAGTTAGCAACTCCATTAAGCACTATTGCCCACCCTCTCTATTTAACCTTAAGAGGAAAACAACATAGTGAGGGCAATAACGTATATTTGTTATGGTAAAATAAAATAAATAAAAGAGAAGAACAAATCTTTATGGATTGCTCCGATGTGGAGAAATTGTTTCTGATATTTAGGACCTGATACATTGGCACGCTAATAAATCTGTCTACTCATCGGGTTTTTGTAATGTATGATTCTATTCCGGCTGCTTCAGTAACCACAGACTTCTGCTCTGCAGGCTTTTCTCTCTACCTCAACCCTGTGCGTCTGAGCCGTGTCCTTGTTCTATTTTGTGTGCTCCTTCACAAATATCACTTTGTTGCATCAGCTTTGTCTGACTTCATCCCCAGTGTCCCAAACTCTGAAAAGCCCCTCAGGGTTGTGGGTCTGCTGGCTGCCATTCACAACCTGCTGTTCTCAGACACTCAACCTGTCTGACGATACCGGGGAAAGTCCCTTATTTCCGCTTTACGCACAAACACACCTGCAACACCTGCCTGGAACCTCCTTCTTTGTTTATTTTGTTCATTTATAAACACACAAATGAACTCGGGAAGAATGACTCAGCCCTCTCTGTTGCCCCAAGGCTTGTCAATGCCCCCTGCAGTGCCCTACTGCTGCTGCTGCTGTCGCTGCTGAACCGCAAACACTAATCTCTGCTAGAAATATACAGTATGCATCACTATTGCTCAACAAGTCCTCCAAATGAAACCACAAAACACGTTTGTCCATCCTCTCCAAAACAACACATTTCTGATTTAATTTACATTTGTCTATACTTTTACGACCGCATAAAATAAGTCACATTTTTCCAGCAGCGTGGGTTTGCATTCAGACCTCCATGTTGGGAGATAGAATACACAGCAAATATGTCATAATTTCATGTAAGGTACCTGAACAATATGATAGATCTAAATTTGGTCTGGGTTTGGAGATGGGGGGGGGGGGGATTTCATTATTTTTGCGGCCCTGCTCCACCTCCTCCAGCTTACTCTGATAATAATGATTATATGAATAATACATTATAATAATTATTGCACTTAAAGCTATCAACTAAATGAGAAAATGTTTACTGATCTAACCTTTTTATGCTTAAATTCAGCTCTATGTACAGTGCATAATCTTCCTTTGGCCTTGGCTTCATGTGAAAAATGATATTCTGCCTCTGATATCATTTGAGAGGATGAAAAAAAGTCAAATATGGAAAGTGAAAGTGCAAACTGGGACTACTTGCTGAATAAGGTTGTCCTGAAATGATGAAATATCACCAAGTGTTACAGGGAAGTTTGAGCTCAAACAACATCCCCCCCCCCCCCCTGATGTCACTCTGTAAAACCAGCTCTTGCAGTGGAACACACCAGCTTGCATAATACAATGTGATCGTACAAATGTATGTGTGGAATACAAATGTGATGATTTCAGACAAGAGCACATTGCCTCAAACTCAAACATTTTCTTCCGTGGTTGCTCGTCTGGGTTGCGGAGGCATGCAAGAAGTTGAAAGAAGGTTTCTGAATGAGATTAATAGCATGGGGCAGGAAGTGACTGACGTCGTAAAGGGGACAAATACTTAATAAGGACTTGAGTCAGACGGGTAACAAAATATCTAAAACTCACACATGGGAATCAAGTGTTTAAGGACTTAGCTCAAGTGAAGGTGCCTCAGAGTGATTTACATACATTAGCCAACATCAAATAGACTCTTTGTACACCTCTGAGTCATTATTACTTCAAAAGCTTGTTTCTCTCACTTTGTGGAATTAGCCGTGACTATCTGCGCTTTCACCTGTTTCACCTATTTTATAGAAACTTGACCCCGCTGTGATATTAAGAGGTAAATATAAAAAGGCCATTGATCTCTAACATCCCTGGGTTGTTTTTTTCTGCAGCATACAGAATAATCTCACAATGGGAAGTCGAATCAGTCTTCTCTGAATAAACCACAAGTCATGTTTTTTTTTTTTTTTTACTACTATTGTGTACAGTACAGTATGTGGCTTCTCAAGTAACTGGCCGCTGTTTGGATAACCATAGAGCTGGCCCTGCTGCCCTCACCACATGGTGTAAAGGGAGGGAATGCCCTGACAGCCAGTCATCACTTTTGTGTCAAATGTCTTTCTTTCTCATAATAAAGAGGCGTCCATGGAAGCAGTGGGCATGGATAACTAAATAAGATTTAATAGCCTATGATCAGGCCGGCTTGCAGGGGTCGTTTGCGCCACTCGTATTGCAAAAAAGGCCAGTTGTTACCACAGTAACCGTGTTTGGCGAGTGTGGGAGATAAATTGCTGCAGTATCTCCCTAATAATAATTTCTATTATCTCCGCCGGTTGTTTAGATTATCATGCAAATAAGGGGACGTGCCGGCCGACAGCAGGTAGGAGCTGGAGGCAGGACATCAAATAAAACAGTTGAGCAATCGCCACATGTGTGCCAAGAAACACGCAGTGGAATAAGGTAAGCAACAATTACGACTTTTTCTTGACGTGGTTTCTTTTTAAGAAACCGTAAATAGGAAGCGTGTAGATTTTTTTGTAAAATGTGTGACCTGAAAAACTACCACCGCAGAAAAGGAAGTAGCTTGAATAGGTGGCAATTCTTCAGTTTCTTCACACTTCTCTGTAAAGCATTTAAAAAAAAAACTCCCCTCTGGACTATAAGATTTAACTTCTGTCTCACGTTGCTCACTTTCATGTGATGCTGCTCATTGCATAAAGGGTAAGAAACTAGCTTTTCTTAATTATTTTATTAAGGTTATTTTCTCTTGAATTATTTATTTTCTGCTAATTTTACAATTTTACTTCAGTCTTTATTCTCCATTTCCTTTATAAAAAGATGCAGCAATTAGATACAGATGTTGTTTTGATGACAAAAGTGTGTTGTGACACTGGACCAGCTAAAACGTTGAGACACTCATTTCCCCGGTCATTATGTTTATGAGGGTCATCACTTTCTCAACATGTCTGGTAAATGTGCATGTACTGAAAACGGGCTGGAAGTTAATGATAAAAGCATCATTGTACTGTATTTACGACACGGAGGAAGCAATAACACAGCATTATGGTTTGTACACAAACACATGCGCCAGACCAAAACACTGGCTCCTCATTAAGTGATAATTGAGCTTCACAATAAACTCTGAAGTGGGGTTATAGAAGGAAATTAAGAGGGAATATAGAAAACAAAATGAATTAGAGTTTATCTCTCTTCTTCCTGTGGTCTTTCAGCTTGTAGGCTAAAAATGTAAAAGTCTAGCAGTGCACTCTTAAATCAAGTGTCAAATGGGCAGTAGGTAGAAAGACTGTGCTGTGCAGTGTTGTAATCTCCTTCCATTCTCTCTTATCAGCAGAGCTCAAAACCCTCGAGGAAACGATGAGCGTTGGTTTATCGGTTGGGACAGGAAAACCACGCTGTCTCGCCGGGTTTGTTCCAGGCCACTGAACCAATAAGAAGCCTTCGTCTCCTGCGGTTCTAACTGCCCGGCCGATCAAACCTCCCTGTGCCGCCGTGTATTCATTCCCCCGCGGAGTCAAGGACATAATGTGACACGTCTCCATCCTTGACTGACTTACATCGAGGCCACCATGCAGGAGTGCCACACTGGACTGTGTCTGTCTGTTTACATCATTACCTTTGTGCTGGGCTTCCCAGCCAACGTCCTCGCCTTCTACACCTTCTGCAAGAAAGTGAAGCAGAAACCCACACCGATCGACATCCTGCTCCTCAACCTGACCATCTCTGACCTCCTCTTCCTCGTCTTTCTGCCCTTCAAGATGCAGGAAGTGATGAACAACATGCGGTGGAACATGCCCTACCCCCTCTGCCCGCTGTCTGGCTTCATCTTCTACCTGACCATCTACAACAGCACCTTTTTCCTCACTGCGATCAGCGTGGAGCGCTACCTGGGCGTGGCTTTCCCCATCCAGCACACCCTGAAGAGGCAACCAGTGCACGCCGTCGCCGCCAGCATCTTCTTCTGGATTTTCTGCTTCATCCACCTCAGCATTGTGTTCATCGTGCCCTTTATCCCCTCTGACAACTCCAGCTCAGGCCACAATGCCTCTGCCATTGGTGACGACAAGAGGGAAGTGTGTTATGAGAATTTCACAGACAGTCAGCTGAAGGTCCTCCTGCCTGTGCGCCTGGAGCTCTGCGTGGTACTTTTCTGCATCCCCTTCCTGATTAGCAGTTTCTGCTACATCAACTTCATCAGGATTCTGTCCAAGCTGCAGCACATTGGCCGGCGCCGGCGTCTCCGGGCCATCGGCATGGCTTTAGGAACACTGGTGGTGTTCGCTTTATGTTTTGGCCCCTATAACGTCTCGCACATTGTCGGTATTATTATGTGGAAAAGTCCCAGCTGGCGAGACAAAGCCCTGCTGTGCAGCACCTTTAACGCTTGTCTAGACCCTCTTATTTTCTACTTTTCCTCCTCTGCTGTGAGAAAGACCGTGGGTAGTGTGATGAAAGTGGTTCGGAGACGCCTTAACAGGTGCATGTCCTGTCACATGCTCTGGGCCATGTGTAGGGGGATTAACAAGACTGCAAAAGATAAGGAACACAAACAAGAGGAGATCAATGCTATCTGAGCAGACTGAAAGAAAGCCGTGAGCAGCTGCCTTTACTAATTTTGTATTTCTTCATCCCTGGAAGCAGAAAATGAATGTCATGTTTATGTTTTTACACGTGAGAAAAGGACTTTGCATGCTATATACAGCAAACTGTTTGAGGAAACGAGACAAGAGAGGACACCTGTCTGTCTGAGCAGACCACAGAGACAGGTCACTTTGAACAGTCATATTCAAATGAAAAATCCGTCTTACATAAGAGCAGGATTTCATAAGAACTCAATGCAGTCAGGTGTTTTGGAGTGCTGCACCAACAAAATCAATATCTAAGCAACAGCTGCAGACGTCACGTCTTAGCAATAAGAGGTAATGCTTTCCCAACAGCATTGACCATGAACAGGAAATGTCGTCTGTTTGTAGCAACATGCTCATTATGTGTCGGCTGCCAAACTGAAGTGTGAGATCTTGAAGAAGACTCAAGTGTGTTGAAGATGGAATGGCTTTGTACGACCTTACAAGCACACATGCAGCTAATATGCAGTTTGCTTTTATGTGAACATATATTTGTGTATTTTGTATTTTGCATTACATGGCTATGACCATTTTCATGCAGATTTTAGTTTACATTATTTTTAATCTTACTAGGATTTGATTATATGATGTATATTATAACTATATGTGGCAATAAAGTAGCATAAATGTTTGAATATATGCATAAAATATACGTCCGAAAGTTGTATGACAGGTGTGACAAAATACAGAAGTACTATTTTCATACACAAATCATGTAAATAATGTATTTTGCATGATGTAGTTGTCATATAATAGGACATACATGTGTGAGCGTACATGAGCCGAAGAATAGAAAGTGACAACATCAAGACAACGACTATTTTCATAAACAAATCATGTAATAATAATAATAGTTTTGGAAAGAGTAACAAATGTGAACATTGCATGTTAATATCAACTGCATTACCTGAATGTAGATGTGATCACCAGATCAGTCATGGATACAATTTACACCTTTTTAAAAATTGACGTTCATAGAAAAATAAAATGAAAAATAAGCATGATTTTTCAGCAATAGCAAGTTTATTGAGCAGATTTTTGTTGTTGTTTTGACACCTCTAATCTGGTTGTACTGTAGATACATAATCTTGCTGTGAATGTAAAGGTCATTATTACTAGCAGTATTTGGTGCTCGTGGTAAGGTGGGCAGGCCTAAATTAAAAATCAACTTTCCCCAGCACCTGAATCAAGATCTCACCCAACACCGCACACGTAAACAATGCTATCACACAAGCGAGCGCTGGCATCGGCTGTAATCCCGTTTTGCGAGGATTAGGCCTGCGCGGAGGTTGAGCTGATCGCTGTATCTGTTTGACAGGTGGATCATGCATGAGGCATTCATTCTGACACACGGACCCGAGTGAACGACTAAGATGTGCGAACTATGTTTCTACTATAGTTGGCACAATTGAGCAGATCCAAAAACAAGCTATAGTCAGCACGCCACGGCGATAAGGAGTCACAGAGAAAAAAAATAGCTTTGATGTGCAGAAAGAAATCAGCATTGCATCAATGTTTAGAGGATATACAGTGGGAGAAAAGCCAAGCAGCATGTACAGCAAGAGGTTTAAAAATGGGAGAGAGGGGGGGATTATACACAGTGCAGAATGAACCGTCCAGTCAGTAAATTCTCATTTCTGAGCGATGACTCTGGACATGATTTGTTTGATGTTGTTTGTCAAAGGTTGGTCGGCTCAGATGAGTCGCACTGAAAACCCAGCGGCCCTTTTTCTGTTTTCTCTCCCACTTCATTTTGTATTTCCTGGAAGACAATAATTGGTCATTGCGTCAGTGTTGACTTTTTACAAACAATGTGTGATAGGTTACAGGGATAAGGCAATAAGAAAAAACAGCCCCGTGTGTATGCATTCGTGTGTGTGTGTGTGTGTGTGTGTGTGTGCGTGTGTGTACATGACTTGTTTGCCAAAGGCAGAGGAGAAAATTGTACTCACCTGGCAGACATCATTTCCCCTTCACGCAGAAATGTTTGACTGCTGTTGAGAGCAAGATCACATAAATGAAATACAGTCTTTTAACCGCTTCCTGTAATTCTAGCTGAGAGGTTTACTCACATTTACCTTCCAATAAAAAAACGACGGTCATTGCAGAGAGGAGACACATCTTCAGAATGTTCAAGTGTACAATCAGCTCGTTAGGGGAGGCATCTGGAAAGGAAAGTAGAAAAAAAAAGGCAAACACTGATTAGCACTGACTTATCATGTTATTGAGCACGATGGAATTAAATCAGGAAGGTTGAACTGGCTTCGGTTGATGGACATTTGCCTCCTCGCTGGGAGGGGAGAGGTGTTTAAACATTGATTGGGTAAATCATTAATTTGTTCAAGTATGCAGTATTGCAGGCAAGCTGTTGCCTCGGAATGATCGATGTCTGACCCACATTAACAGTCAAGTAGGGCAAACACTGAACAAGCGACTTGTGGTATGTGAGGCACTGTCGTCCCGGAACTCTGTGTCAGTACAGACTGTGTTATTTGGAAGGAAGTTGCCTGTAGACCCGCAAAGAGGAAAGAGTACAAATCCTGTTCACGTTCTACAGGGGGAGGTGAATCGCAGTTGTATATCAGAACAACTGCATTAGTGCATTAGTCAAAGATGTAAGTCTGTGTACATAAAAACCTATATTTTTTATATGACTAATGGATTAAATGACTATGTGTAGTGTGAAAGGAGTTGCGTGTAGTGATAAACCCACACAGAATCTTCCTTCAGCTCTCCTTCAGTCTTTCAGCTATTTCATTTTCACTATTCTGGCCCGCTACATCACTGTTTCGGTTCAGTCTTATCGCTCTCATCAAAAGTCTTTTCCAAACAGATGATGCAGCAGTTATTTGTTTCTTATAATGTTGGTGGCGACCAAATCGGAGCTAAAAGGACTTACATTTACTCTAAAAACATGACTCCAAGTTAATGATAATGTCCACAACATAAACGCATTATCAACTTTGTAAGGTGTAATATCAATATTGTCTTTACATTTTACTGCAGGCTGAAGATAACGGTTTACTTTGTATAAACCTGAATTCAGCAGTTTATATCGGTTCACTTTCTGATTCTGGGTCAATGTTCGATGAAAATTGGTCCAGTGTTTTCTTTCCCCCATAAATACATTGACATGTGCTCCTCATTTGCTATAACAGCGATTTATAATATTTTGAGACATCTGTTGTACCAAACTGTTAAAACAAACATGATTAAGTTAAATAGTTAAATATTTAAAACTGGTTGGCATAATAGTTCCATATTACAGCTACATTTTTTTGTTGAAATTGTTAAAAGAAAACATCCAAATGGGAAATAAAAAAAAATTTAAAATTTAAAAATTCCACAACCAGTGGCACTTCGCAACTAATGCCTCCAAGACAAATTTCAAACTGTAAAAACTGATCATATTTGGGAAATTGATTGAGTCTCTGTTTTTATTACCCCAAGTGAAGGAGGCAGTCAGAGCCGTGGTCATGGCAGGGTGGTCCTGCACCCCACAAGTGAAGGTGATCCCTGTTTCCAAAGACTCCTTCTGTGGGAGGCCAAACACGCTGAAGAGATACACTTCCCGGCTGTGACTGTCCATCACCTGGAAACACTTTGAGTGGCTTGTAGGCATGGAGTTCACCAACCAATCTGAGGACAGCGGGGCTCCGACGGCCGGGTGTTCAGACAGGTTACCATGAGGGTTGAACGCAGGAAGGGTGCAATTGGTGACTGACAGGTGATCGATATTGGCTGCTGCGCTCTGGTAGGTCCAGGTCAGGGTGAGCTCGCTGGGGTGGAACCCCCCAGTGAGACAGAAGAGAGCCCACTGACCAGTCTGTGGGTCCGGGGGAATCTGGAGGTAAATCTTGGGAGCAGAAGGCGGTGCTATAGCAGTAGAAAAGGGATCAGAAACAAAGTGGGTAAATAGTCTTCAGCACTCAAATAAGTGTTTTTGATGATACACAGCAGCAAAAGTAAACAGACGTGTTTCAGGCCTGGGCTGTCCTTAGGGTTTCTGAGACATTTGTGTAGGAGACCCCTCTAAAGCAGCAGACAGGAACCAGCTGTTGATTAACACCCAGCGGATACACATCATCAACCATAGTCAGAAAATATGTAGCAAAAAATGTAAATTATAAGAAAAGTTATAAGAGAAGTTTTATCAAAACAATTATATTCTCTTCTTGCAACAACTAGATAAATGACACGCTGACATTACAAAATGCATGTATGAACATATGTAAACCCATCATGTGCATAACCTACAGGTAAAATAAATACAACAATCAATACAACATCATCAAAAGACACTTCCTCACTATAAGAAAGCTAAAAAGGTTTCTTTCTGGTGATGTGACAACCAGATAAGTGACCACTTGCACTCTAACAGTAAGAAAATGTACATGACATCAATAAACATCATGTACATCAATAATGCTCATTTGTATTCATATAAACAAGAAAGCAGTAATTCCTCATGTACGCCCCCAGGATACTCAATAGACCTCTCTTAGGAGAAGTTTCCTCTCCTTAGCTCCTCCCCTTAACAATGGACAACAGCCTCAATACCCATGAACCGTAGGTTACAAACTCAATGGCCAGCAGAATTCAAGTGTTTACAGGACACTACTCTTCACTTTAGAATATGCTGTTTTCTGACGACTCTTTTAACTGACTGACAAACAGAAGGAGGATTAGGTGCTGAAAAGACAATTTTTTTTCAGAAACCACGGACAAACATGCATTTAAAATACTTTGGTCATAAATCTTTTCTCGGGCCACGTCACACCCGCAAATGTCTCAGAAACTCTGACAGAAGCGTCGGGCTGAAACGCGTCCGTTTCCTTTTGCTTCCGTTTCCCAAAGTACAAACACTTAATTGTGAGTGCTGACGAGTGCTATTTTGTGATTTTTGGATCGGCACCCATCAATATCTCAAGACGATTAAGCTGAACATGCCAGTTCCTTACAAATTAAAAACATCAGATGATATAAAGTCAGGTCATTGTAGCAGCAAATAATAATACGCAGCAAGGCCAAATACAACAGAAATATGAAAAGTATATGTGTAGTGTAGTGGTAGTCATAATGCAGCCATCTATTTAAAAACAAGGACAAATTAAGATCAAACAAGTTGATGAAAAGTACAAGAACACATTAAGGAAAGTATGGATAGTGCACAACATGCACATTTAAACATTTAAACAAAATTAAAAGAAGTATAAACATGCAATATGGATTGGTATTTCGGGGAGGCAACAATGCATTCAGAGAAACTCAAAGGAAGCCTTTTTTTTCTGCATGAATGATTTCCACATAATAATTTGGCCATCCCTCCATGCCTTGTTTTCTGGTGAGTTTCAATTCCCTGGGCAAGATCGATACAAGGCACTGCGCATGGAGCCGGGGTGATTATTTCTAGATCTGTCATGAAACTGCTCAGGCAAAAAGATGAACTCTGAGGGAATTTCACATGGCTTGATTTCTTTATGGATCGAGCCTGGCCGCTCCTGTTATGGTGAATCATGGTCCTCCCCGGCGCTTGTATCGAGCTGCGCCTCACACTAAACACCGTGGCCCTCTACAAATGAGACATAATTACCGGCAACATGGCAACATCACCCAAGCAAAGCCACCCCTAATGAATTTCTGAAACGAACAATTTGTTTCTCACCCAAGACGACCAGCTCGGTCCCGTTGCCACACGCTGGGTCTTTCTGCAGGACGTTCACCTCGCAGTAATACCACCCAGCATCCTCCAGTGCTACCTCGGTGATCACCAGGGAGGACGTTTGATTCTTCTCCACAACGGACGTCCTGGGTGACTTTGGGATGGGCTGCTTTTCCGACTTCAGTTTGAACCACTGAACCCCATACTTGAGGGATTCCACTTTGAAATGACAGGACAGGGTGGCCGACTCACCCCGCATCACGCTGAGAGAGGGGGGGTACTGTCTAACCCTCAGTCCCTTTGGAGTTGCTGTCAGGGCTAAAGACAGAGCCATTAATAAAACGTGTCATACGAAGAACTTTTAAAAAGTCTAGAGCAGACCCGCGGGTCAAATACAAATACTTTAAATGTGTGTTTAGTATTCCTGGGTGACAGAAAACTCAAAGAACTAAATTGGAATTCAATTCAGTACAATTTTATGATGCACCAAACACTTATTGAATGTCTTTCAATGTGACAAACTTCACCGAACAACAAATGTTTTTTTTTAAACTTAATTTTTCAATCAAAAACGAAAGCACTCTCAAGTAAAAACGATTTCAACAGCTTCGGAGTATCTCTTTGATTGTGGCGACGGCTTGTCTTGCTAAGTGTGATGAAGTGATTATTAAGTGCGATGACGCAATACTGCAGATAAGATAAGCAAAACACTCAGACGCACACAATTGGAGTGCAGATGAAAAAGAAGAACACAAAAGTGGTCCAAAAAACAGGTTGCGTCTCTTTACCTTCTACTTCTCTCTCTCTCTGCTCTAATTAAATCATTTTAATAATGAAAACATATGCTATTTCATTCTAAACGTCATATCAAACTTTTGAAATAGATATTCAAAGAATCTAAGGAAAAGACAAGCTCAACAAAGATCAAACCCTGGGTGACAGTTTATACGAAGCTAACACATTTTGTAACGTGACTGACTTGGATTCGGACTGACCTGGTACTTGGCCTGCCAGCAATAGAAGCAAACACAGGCGAGGCATTTTTGCCATGCTGCTGTTGTTCCCCACTCCAATCTTGAGTGGTGAAGTAATTTCTCAGGCAAGTCTGAAGCTTGCTGTGCTTTGAAACATGATGGTGTCAGCTTGTTTTGTTGTTGCACTCTATGGTTAGAGATGATAGTTCATTAATAGGTCACTCTTCAAAAGAAACCTGGTTCTGGGTTAAATATCAGTATCTTGCCAAACAAATAGACACACTCCGCATGCTGAAAGAAACCACAGTGTAAGCAAGCGCTGCTGGCGTTATTCTAAAGGTTTCTGTTTTCCTCTCCATTAGTGCAGACGCCCTTTTAATCATCATTATTTTGATTTTAAGTAATTACAGTCATTTGGAATGAATGTGATGTTTTCCCCAAAAATCCTTAGGTTTGTTTGAACAAGCAATTGGAAACCTGTAATACTGGGTGCATGATTGGGAATACTCTGGTTAACCATATTATGTATGCAGATGATCTTGTGATTTTTAGTCCATGTAGCGCTGGTCTTCAGCAGCTCCTCACTGTTTATGGTGTGGAACATGACATCAAATACAACGCCAGTAAGAGTGCTATCTTGATCTGAAGAACCAAAGAGGAAAAATGTCTAAACTTCCCTGACTTCAAATTGCCTGATAACAATCTTGGTGTGTGTGAAGAAGTAAAATATCGTGGTCACTTTATAACGGAACACATGACAGATAATGACATTTCTAGGCAATGTCGTAGGATGTATGCACAAGCAAACACTCTCTCACGCAAGTTTGGTGTGTGTACAGATGGAGTGAAGATGTCTCTGTTCACAGCATATTGTACATCACTCTACAATGCACACTTGTGGTCAAACTACAAAAAAAAGAAGCTTATAGTGACTTCAAGTAGCTTATAATGATGCCATGAGATTATTACTAAAGAGACCGAGATGGAGTAGTGCCAGTGAGTATAGTGCCTGAGAAACAATTGCTTATTAATTAAAAAAATACTCATAACACAAAGGACCCTTGGTATTGGAAGAAGTATGATTGAGTATTTTGAGTTTTGAGCAATAAACATTTTTACAAGTAGTACACAATTCTGTCTTCTAGGATTTGCAGCACATTACTGAATGTGTTGATGTATTCCAAAACTCTTGTTTTGATTTTGTTTTTTTGAGTTTTTCCCGTGCAATAGCTGTAAATATGAATTTCCTGAGTCGCCTAATGAGCATAATGAGTATAATGAATACAGATCTGCATCCTCCAGGGGGAGGAAGACTTGTGATACATAGGTGCAATCATCATCATCAAAGCAAGACACGCAAGTTTAAAAATATGAGTTCAACTTGAGGAAAAACCGTCTGCTTATTAAAACTTTTCACTCTAAATTGAAAACGTCAGATGACCCATTCGGTAAAAACATTGAAATTGCAACCACTTGAAGGGGCATTACGTAACGCATTACTTTGCTGTTTGTACGTCGAGGGGCTTTAAAAAAAGTGACATGTGTGACCCAATTTATTAAATAGTAAAGTCACATTCCTTTCAATATAACCTGTGTCCTTACTAAGTATAATCTGATTGATTAATCTTATATAAAAATTACATTTCTTGGGAAGGTTTTACGACGTGATTTAAACTTTTGTCAACAGACATGGTTGTTATTTGTATGTTGTTTTGTTTCACAGAAATTACAACAGAATACAACTTGATTTTTTTTCCTGGCAAGACTAAATTAAGTCACCCTCTCTGGAGAGATTTAAAGATCACTGGCAATCCCTACCGACATTAGGCCTACTGTCTTTTATAGGCTGTAGCAGCTCAGTCTTAAAGATAGAGTTAAAGTCCTAGTACCTAATGAATCCATTGGTACCAACCTTGTCATGCTAGCTTGTCTGGCAGGGGGATAATGCTCCAGAGTTAGGCTAAATATTGGCAAAGGAAAACTGTCATGGTGATATTTAAAGGTGTTCCTTGAGCTCTCGCCTCAAGATATGCAGTATACAGTATATGTGTTATTTTTGCTTATTCTAAAAATTAGGTATTTGAATACTTCTGCATACTGGGGTCCCTAAAGAGTCACTGGAAAGCTGAGACTCTTGTGGATCCAATGAACCCAGAAGTATTCATGTGTGATGATGGTAGTCCCCATAGTAAATGTGACGTCCCTATTTTAACAAATTTAAGCATCAAATCTGCAATGAATGGAATAAACCCAAAAATTGCTGCAACAACATATGAGACACAAGTGAGCATGGGATTGGCCATCATATACTTCCATCACGTTGTTCTAAGCCCCTATATACGTTCACATTTTCTTTTAATTAACTAATCGATCATTTCATTTTAATGTATGATACCTTGATACACACCGCTAAGCTGGATCATTAATTGTTAGGTTCCCAGCTTTCAGATGTTGTGCATCACTTCTATGCGATATATACTGTTGACCTGCTATCTCCGCCTAAAGATCCCCTTCCTCCACTAAAACAGACTAAAAAAAGGTCTATGTGGGTCTCTAAGGGTTAAACAAACAGAATATTGTTTCAATATAGAAATGAATTAGAGCAGATTTGCTCCTGAAAATTATGATCGATTTGATTGATAATTAAATACCAAGTGGAGAGCTTCCTCCAGCCTGTAAATAAATTAACATGAACAGAATGACAACAGCCAGTGTTAATCAAAATGGACAAACTTGTTAACATTTTCCCATTAATGATTGATAATCACAACGGATCATTTCTATTGTGACGTTCTCACCCACTCATAGCATTTAAATCATTTGTTGTCAAGTGGTTTGGTATGAGCCATTTATTCTGACAGATGCTCATCAAACTGAACATTCAGACAGTTTAATTAACTCTGAGATGAACCTGCAAACTCAACAAAAGCAGCGGATCTTTACTCAGCAGGAAGCAAAAAAACAAGCTGAAGCAACTCTCCTGACCTCACCTCCTTTCCAACCACAGGGGCCAACAGAGCCTCGCTTCCAGCAACAAACCACACACAGCGAGTTCTCTTAAAAACAAAACAGATTTTTTATTTTTTTGTCTCCCTCCACATGATATGATTTTTAACTCCACTTCATGGATTTTGAAAAAAAAAAAAAAAGACACTCGGAAATAAAAGTCAAAGAAGACACGTTCAGCGACTAAACCGATCAAAAGGAAGTACAATCATCGCTTCACAGCACTGAACACCTGTCACGGTGGAAGGCAAATGTTTTGCTCCTTTCATTGTTTTTTTTGTCTTGTGTGTTTTACATTGATGAGATGTTGAGGAATGGAACACTGTCTGTAATTCAGGTCTGTGTTATGAAGGAACCAAACAAGCCTGCCCTGTGCAGCTCAGAGAATTCACACACAAACACACACACACTTGTGCTGCTACACTGTTCAACTTATTGGACCTGTCCTTTGTCCTCACAAGTCCATGATGTCCTCACAGAGTAAGCAGGTACCATAGAAACGTCCTCATAATCCGGCGAAACCAACACACACACGCACAAATACTAAYACATCATTTATATCAGAAACGGCAGAGTGGGCAAACCTGGAGTACTGAGAGGTGAGAGAGCAGGACTTATCACAGGTTATCTCCACACAAAAAGAAATGGAGGACAGGAAGGAAATGTGTGTGTGTGTGTAGAGAGAGGGAGAGAAGAGAGAGAGGGAGATGGGCTCCAAATTCAACACTAACCTAAGACAACTCATTCCCTCCATTATACACGGTTGGGTCTCTCCTGGTAGAATGTGTTATTAGTTTCCAAATGGGTCATTTTCCATTACTCTGCAGTGAGGGTTCCTGCAGTCTGTTCACTGTTATTGCCCTCTTGAGGCACAAAGCACATGGCCAGCCCCCTATCATACATCCTGTCGTCTATCCCAGCCTCTAGCGCACCTAACGCAGTAATAAGACACTTGTAGCCCGCATCGGTGACTTCACCACACCCCCGCCGACACAGAACCGCAATATAAATCAGCACAAAAAAACACCAGTTGGTGCTGTCATTTGTGAAAGAAATCCAAGTTTCCCCTGTCAGTACTCAGCACCACAACCAATATTTACCCTGCGGTTGATTGACAAGCAAAATGCCAGGCGTGGGCTGGTGATTCAGAGAGGCCAAGTAATGGGACTCCTCCTATGTTGGAGTTGTGAGGTGGGCGACTTAATGACTAGGGGAGACGTGGTGGGCGAGATGCCTCCATTGTGTTGCCTGGTCCACGCGAACGCTGCTCAACTGGAGGAGTGCAGCACGCCGTTAATTAGCCAGACGCTCCTGTTCTTAGAGAGGTGAGTGATTGACAAGATGCCATCTGTGGTCGCGCTGAGGAAGATGGCGAGGCTGGCGTCTCTGTGACCAGGCATCTTTGCTGCAAGCTGAGGTTTTAAATATATACAGAACACCTATTTATCTACTCTTAACTAAATACTAACACTAAACACTGCATTAAAACATCTATCTATCTATATACTGTATCTATCTATCCCAATTAATGAACACGAATCCCGATCTACACCTTCATCTTGCAAGTGTCATGCGACTCTTTAATTAACAAATCTGATGCCATTTCAAACACCTGAAGTGTGCTCATGCTCACTGAGACTTTCCGTCATCACAATCCCGTCTAGCATGCTGTACACTAATGCACTCATTAGCTGTGGTAATGGAAAAGTACCGGGCCTTAATAGACTTGCAATATGGACTTTGCCCATGAGGACTGAATGAGCCTGTAGATAGTTGGTAAACAATGGATAATTAGGATAATATATGGGAATTAGGTGTGCTTTGCTGTAAAGGACGTGAGCAGGGGATTTAGAGCAATGATAATCATTCATATATAATTGTCACCCTGCATATATAGCCTTTTGGTATACTGACTCTGGTACAGCAATGTTTGCAATTTCTCACATCATTAAATTATGATCTTTTTCTTTGTGTATTTTACATCTAGAAATAAGCCCCAGGATACATAATGTCAATAGCTGCTGACATTGGCAACCGCAAAATGATCCAGGTTACATCTCTGTCATTGCTAATAAAATCGAATGTAACATCAAAGCACCCACTGCGCCTGGTGTTTAAAAGCCCAGTGGGCGTGTACGGGCAGAGCAAAACAAATACCAGCCTGGATAGACTTGAAAAACAAATGATTAATTCTTCATTCCCTGGATCTGAACCGTAGCTTTGAACACATAGTTTACTGAGCTGACATTACAGCTTGCCAAAATGGTTTCAGAGAAGGGTTTAAAAATCAATGCGCAATTAGGGGTGTCTTGTATCAGGCATGATGAATTATGCTCTCTGTTCTAAGGCTGGTCTGTAGACATCAATTCAGCTTCTGGGGACCTGGTAAGGCCGGCCGGGGAGAAATTGCTCTATTCCAAATCCATTTGGTCGAATGTATTGATTAACCATTGCATTCAGAATTGAAAGTCGGTCCTGGTTCTGTTCCATGTAGGGAGGGTGTTGTAGGAAAGGCTACAGCACGAGCCTGCCACGTACAAAATGAAGACAGCAGTACATTCAAACCTTCTCCAGGCTTGCACTTCTTCTGCCATTCTACAGTCTTGGCTTCAAAGCACCATAATTATTTTACTGCAACAGTTCAGGAGCGACGTGCGGTATCTTTCCTTACACTCTGAAGAGCTTAATTACCTGACTCCTCTCTTCAAAGGCACAGTGCTCTGAAACTGCAACAGGTCTTTTACAAACCCTATATTCCAAAGTTCTTGTCGAAACACTGTACTGATATGTTTATAAAAGCAAAAAAGGGCCATTCATTTACAGCTATATACATTCACCTCCTTTTCCGCCAGTGTAAATCCATTGCTCGAATCCGACCGGAAACAAAAGTACAGCTATTAAAGTGCAACACAATGCTATACAATGTCAACTGCCGCTACGTGCTAGTTTTGTGAGCTCAAAATAAAAGCTTTGTGCCATCTTATTAACAAAGATTCTGTAAACAGATCACATAACCTTCAGCTGCAGGAGCCAATCAACACTTTCTCATCAGGCTGCGCCGAATGTAATTAGAGGCCAAGCAAACGTCTTGTTTATATCACTGTAAACTCATTGAACCCCAGTCGGGGTGTTATTTATACACTTGAAGTAGGCCAGACTGTGTTTGCGATCAAGGCTATGTTAATGCTGTTCATATTACATAGTGCAACCATAAATAGTGTGTGGTCTTCCCCTGGGAAAGACCACGGCGCTCAAGTTTGGAAATGCAATATGAGGGCCTGTCTGTCTTCTCCCCCTAACTGGAGGGTTCACAGTCTGGTTAGTGTCATCCCATCTCCCTCTGGCTCTCAGCTTTTGGATTTGCATTGTCAGGGTATTGTCCCACAGGCCCATCGGACCGGGTGCTCTCTCAACAGCATCCTCTGCTACCCTCGAATTCTGCACCCAGGGGATGTGCTGCCTCCTTCCCCACACCCTCTCCAAGTGTGATTCATTTACATACGTCATGACTCATGATTCTTTAGCTGCTTGTTTGTACAAATGCCCAAATTCTGTTCATCATCACTCCACAGTTTCAAGCCATATTGCCCGAATTCCCCCCATCTGGACCCGTTACCCATAAACCTGAACACAACAATGTTTGCTTGTTTCTTTTTTTCATTTTTTTTTTTTTTTCCAAAATCCACCCATACACCAACATTGACGTGCTTTTTTTGAATCCCACATTGAGAAACATGACGGTATGTTATTTTTTTTTGTCCGTGTTTTTTTTGGGGATGTTTTTCCTTCAATTCTTTTGTTCTTTTTCTTCATCAAGGACAGAATATGTACATAGAGATGTTATATGCCACTGACAAACCCAGTGAGACGCTGACATGGAACAGTAAACAGTATTTGAGTGAGAAACAGTAAAAAAAGACCGAGTTAATGAGAGGATGAACCAGAGACTGAGGCAGAAAAAAAGAAGCACTGACCAAACAACCTGCTCTTGTGCTTGACATGGAATCCGTCATTACTTTTTGCGCAACAAGATGCATGCACAAACAGTGTGTTCTGTCACACAGACAACCCGACTACATCGCAGAGGGCACGACTTTTTGAGTACAACATGTAGTGTTTTAGATTAAGGGCCATCTAAACAGAGCTTCACAATCATTTCAGAGTACTGTACACAGTAAAAGCACAACAACAGACTTATTTGATATACCTTGTTAATCTCTTCAGATATTACACCACAGCTTTAACCATATCTGATACTTCTCGCACAGTAGTGTTAGGGGTTATTGCTGGTTTGAAACAAAATCAAACATAACACATTCAGACAATTGATTCAATACTGAGTAATTCCCCTTTAAGGTCGCAGTAGTCAGGGTTCAGCGGGGGTAAACTCATCTCTCCGTGCAGGCTCGTTATGGCAAATTTGCATATAGTCGCTGCATGTGAGTGGAAACAGTGTTTCAGCAGGTAAACGAGTGCCACTGTATTGAAATATGGGCTTACCTCCCACTGTTTGTGCTGTGCGGGGGTAGTGGATGGATAATTGTGCCATGGGGGTTTTGTAGTGCCCATGCCTGCATGTCACAGGTGACACATTGTAGGGAGGACTCGTGCACCGAGGCGGGGTTGTCCTTGAAGAGGATTCCTGTCAGTGGCAGGTATGAGCTTGATTTATGGGGGCCATCACTGGCTGGCAGGAGGGACAGGTGGAGCCCCGACTCCTTCACTTAGCCAGCCACAGGTAACGGCTAATTACATCTTTGTCTCCCTGTGGTCTGGCCCAACAAGAACCGACTTACAGCCACAATCAGAGACTGACATGGATCCAAATCATTTATCTATCTGGTTGGAGAGAGACACACACTATGATAACTGGACAACTATGCTGTAAATCTGTGATGCAGTTCAAAGCATGTAAAAGAAATAGTCCAATACATAAACTGTTACAAATTATAAATAACATCATCATTCACTGCTTCTTGACTTGGATGAAATAATCCCTCAGACTGTTTCAAATGCGTTTTTAAAAAGCTTGTCATGGCAAAATAGAGCACATCACTTCAAAAACTTTACATGTCTCTTTTTTTTCATTGTGGTTGTTCAATGTGTGTGACTTCTCAGAGTAAAGTACAAAAAAAATCTTTTTTCCCACGCACGGCTCATTACCATCAGATTTTGTTCTTTTTTTTTCTCACATGGAATTACTATTCATAGTTATTCAAATACTTATTAACATCATCATCATCATCTGTACTATTATTAACACCAAAAAAGTAAAAGCAGGTAACCTTGCAGAGTAAAACAGACACAGTGCAGGGAGGGGGGAGGGAGGGGGGGTGAAGGGAGTGTGGACTCACAACAGGAACATCTCTAACCGGTACATGCTATCAACAAGCGACAAAGAGGATGGAGTCGCAGCTTTGAAACAGAAGACATCATTGTCGCTGGACAGTCTCTTGCTGCTTCAGAAAACTGGAGCGCAGTCGAGGCTGATGGGAGATGTCGTTCAGCGCCGGGCAACTCGGAAGTCGCCGGCGTGGCCTCTTTACTGCATATATTTACACTGGGGGAAGAAGACGGAGGGAGGAGGGTCGACACGGAGCAGAGAACACTAAAGCGATGCGGAGGGCGACTAGACAAGAGCACGTTGAACAGAAGGGCGGAGGGAGGGGGCTAAAAAGGTTTGGGTAGTGAGGGGGTCTACATGCGAAACCTTGGTATAAACCCCCAAAGTTACATAAAGGGGTAGTTAAGACTGACGCCGTCACCACCCACCCTTTTTTAATACATTTTGACATCATTCATAGCAGCTTCACTGCTACACAGTTAAAATCAAAAATCCATACATGTGCGTGTGTGTAGGTGTAGGTGTGTGTGATCAGAGGGTGACACTCCACATGGCCACCAATTGAACAATTTTCAAAAGGTCACATGACCGTTTTTAACACATTATTACTATAATTCTATAAATATCCACCATTAAATTGAGATTTTATGTGTCATAAGGCAAACATTGTAGGTCAGTCATTAGTCTATGTATATTACATAAATGATCATCCAGTTGTTAGATTATCTACTTTCTCATTGATCACCGACACAATAATTGATTGTTAATATACACTCTCTATTAACATTGGCCCAGTGGTAATAATGAGGGGAAAACAAGGTGAGGAGGGAAGTACCAAGTCAGACAAATCTGCAAGGCATGCTGGGAAACAAAAAGAGAGAGACAGATGTGTGGGAGAGAGGGAGGAAGAGATGATGACAATGGTTTGACCTTGAAATTGAATCGAGGCAGCGGGGGTTTTGGGGAAGGGAGGGGGGGGATAATGTGGTTGTGTGTTTGATGCAATGATTCAATGGCTCCTGGAATAATGCATATTCTTTTTGTTCACAGTGATGGGTTCGTAATTAAAGAATTTCATTTCCTTCTTCCTTCCGTAGAGGGGGAGAGAGGGAGGAAGAGGGGGGACGGGGCGTTTAGGGACAATTCCAAGTGGAGCTCGATCTTTACACCTTCAGCAGAAGAACAGCAGAGAGGGAAAACCAAAAACACACGCTGACACCCATCCCTCCATGTAGACCGGTCCCTCGCCCTTGTATGGCGCCCGGTCCTGGACGAAAAAGGAGAGAGGGGAAAAGGAGAAATGTGTATTTTGGAATATACACAGAAATAAATAATTACAATTACAATTCTAATACTTGACCTCCAAGCGTTTACAGAGTTTACAAGTAAGAACATTGACTTTAAATTACTTTTTCCAGCAGCCTTTTTTTGCGTACCGAGCTGCCTGGAATGCAGCATTAGCCGGCGTTTTTCCAAATTATAACTAAATAACAGCTTCACACTCATTGCACCGAAGATGTTTCGTTAAAGCTTTGCTTTTTATGTGAGAGAACGACAGAGCTTCTGGATCCCATTTAAGATCATTATTATACTTAAAATGGACACAATATAGAAGGCTGTGACATGAGGTCTGACATTTTAAGTGAACATGATGGCTCTGTGTTTTTTAGGTGTGCCAGGAAGCGGCGCTACTGAAACCTATATGCAAAAAACATGCACCCTGGAACTACAATGTTAGTGGTGACACCTATTTGACACGTCTAAATGAGAGCGCTCTATTGAATTTCTCAATTTAGAAACATGTTAACACGGTTAATCTCAAGTTTACAAAGCCATGACATGCTACAGTTTACATGTTCTATGCATTCAGGGCTGACATTTTGACGTGAGACTATTGACGTTAATCATGGCTCTGTTCCATAAACGTGTGCCAGGAAGGCAAGTCGCTGAGCCTGTATGCACAGTACAAGAACACAGCCATTATTAATGTTATTAGTTCTACCTATTTGATACGTCTAGATGACCACCGTAAAAAAAAAAAAAAGGTTGATTGAATTTCTAAATTTAGAAACATATATGTGGTCCAGGGCTTACATTCTGACTAACAGGTGAAACTAATAACATTCATAATGGCTCTCCTCCATTTGCGTGTGCCAGAAATCTAAACCAGCCAGCCGGCAAACACACAATACAAGCACCGTGGCACTGGGGCACCTCAATGAAATGCAACCCTTGTTAATGTCATTAGTTACACACGAGTCAAAATGTCCACAGTGACAAAAGTCTATTGAATTATACAATTAATTTGAATTCTGGAACAATAACATAGAATGGTTCTCCAACAAGCAAATAATCCAATTTACCATCAAGAATATCATATTTGGGCAACAAAATCACATTATGATTTAATGGACAACTGCAAAAAAAACACACTTTAATTACATTCTTTCTTCCTGTTTTGTGCCATTTTGTCAATCTATCAGATTGACAAAATACAACCTGGTGTCTTATAATTGAACAGTGCAGAGTGAAAGCTGGTACAGGCTGCCAGTGGCCTTAGTAATGGGCTCATTACATCAATGTGATGGTGGGTTGTTAATATTAAAATGTTACATGTTGCACCTTTTGAAATGGTGAGGTATAAAAAGGAACAAAAGCACGGAAACAAAGATGGCAGGGAGGCAACGACAGCGAGGAGCAGCGTATCAATAGAAATATCACAAAAGTGTCCGATTATGGTCTGATTTTCCATGCCTGGTCCAGAACAGAAAGGGATTTGTTGTGTTCTAATGATGGCTGGGGGAGATTAGGAAGGAAAGAGGAGGCAAAAGGACAGATGACGGAGAGATAGGCTGACAGAAGTGGCAGCGGCGGTGGAAAAAGAGAGCAGGAAGATGTATGGGTCTGACGAGAGAGTGAGTCATTGAAGGGAGACTGGCCGGGATAATGGGTAAAGCAATGAAAGAAGAAAGGGGATAGATGAAGGACTCACTTAAGATGGTAATGCTGAATGCAGTAAAGGGTTGGGGGGGGGGGGGGGGGGGGGGGGGGGGGGGGGGGGGCTAGATCGGTGGTGGGGGGGGTGTAGGTGAGAGGGGGGGGGGGAG